CTTGAATTGATCTTTTTTTAAAGTTATCTACATTGTCAGTATTCTTAAATAATATGTTTGCACAAATGTCCTTGTTTGTAAATACTGATTGTAGGTCAAAATTCTTAGTACCAATTCTCAAACCTATAACTATATATAACCTATAACATATAACCTATAATGAATACGCTATACAAAATTCTTTTGATTTTGCAAAGCATGTCTCCAATTAGCCTTGAAAAATATGCTACAATGGCGAGTTTTGACATATAGTCAAGATTTACAAACATGTCCTTGAAATAAACAATAGATATTTGAACAAACAGTTTATTTGAGAATACTGACAGTGGGTTATAACTTTACACGAGATCGATTCAAGAAATTGCTAAAATGTAAATTTATCTCATTCTTCCGTTTCTACTATCGAAATCTACCAAAACCGTTTTTTTTTCATCACACCTTTTATCCTTATTATGTCCTCATACTTCATCATTCTTAAGCGGCGCATGTAGCATGTCTTCAGCCTTCACGAGTCGCTCTTTCTTCTTCCTTTCTCCCTTTTTCTTTGGCCTCTCTGAAGCTCTGCATTTTCGGTGTTTCAGTTCTCCGTCTTAACTTCAGTGTTTGATCTTACTGATTCATGTTTTAAAAAGGGTTATAGGTCTCTGTGATGGGGATGGGGATAATGCTAAGGCTGTGAAATAACAACAATAATAATAATATGATGTGTGTGTGTGTGTGTGTGTGTGTGTTGTGTGTGTTGTGTGTGTGTGTGTGTGTGTGTGTGTGTGTGTGTGTGTGTGTGTGTGTGTGTGTATTTAAATAAATATATGATAGTCCTAATATTGATAATAATAGCAATGGTAATAATAATGATAACAAGGAAAGTAACAATGATGATAGTAATGATAATAATGTTAACAATAACAACACAATGATGATTGATAAAATAATGAATAAAAAGCGAGAGTAAAAATGATGATAATGATAAAATAATGAGAACAATGAGTAACAATGATAATAGTGATAAGATAATCATAGTAATAAATATGATAGTTTAGACAGCAATAGTAAAAATGATGATGGTGATGATAACGTAAACGGTGAAGATAATGACAATTAAGAGTTTTCTTTTTCAATATCCAAGGCAAAGATACACTATCCAGTTCGTGCTCTCCATTCTACATTAAAAAGAAGGATAAAACACCAGAATATAAAAAAATCTGACAAGCCAAACTTTGGAACTGATCTTCTTTGACACTGTGCGGAGAATCTGTGCCCTAGACATAGAACTTTTAAGGGACTGACGTCGAGAAGTGACGGCCAGCCTTGTTATATATGTATATGTGTGTGTGTGTGTGTGTGTGTGTGTGTGTGTGTGTGTGTGTGTGTGTGTATGTATATATATATATATATATATATATATATATATATATATATATATATATATATATATATATATATATATATGTATGTATGTATGTATGTATGTATGTATGTATATATTGATAGATAAAGATAGAGACAAACAGAGAGAGGGAGAAAGAGAGAGACAAACATTCTGACAGAGACAGTAGTAAATAGGGAGAGAGAGAAAGAGAGAGACAAGCAGAGAGAGGGAGAGGGAGAGAGACAAACATTTAGACATTCTGAGAGAGACAGTAGAAAAGAGGGAGAGAAAGAAACAGAGACAGAAAGTAAGAATGATCGTATCTTCTACTTCCTCTTTATCCTCTTCCATTATCGAGTCTTTTCCAGTAAATCATAAGACAGCTCTAAGTTTTCGATTAACATATTTAGCTAGAAAGTCCGGCATAGTTTAATTTCATCCTCGATCTTCTCGAACCCTCAGCTTCATCCTCGTCTGACGCGTTCAAGAATTAAGGGTAATAGACCCGTTCCTTCCCCGAATCCCCTTCCCTTCCCTCTTATATAACCTCTATCCCCTATCCTTCTCCTTCCCCCTGTCTCTCTCCCCTTCCCTCTTATGTAACCTCCATCCCCTATCCTTCTCCTTCCCCCTGTCTCTCTCCCCTTCCCTCTTATATAACCTCCATCCCCTATCCTTCTCCTTCCCCCTGTCTCTCTCCCCTTCCCTCTTATATAACCTCTATCCCCTGTCCTTCTCCTTCCCCCTGTCTCTCTCCCCTTCCCTCTTATATAACCTCTATCCGCTGTCCTTCTCCTTCCCCCCTGTCTCTCCCCCCTTCCCTCTTATATTACCTCTATCCCCTATCCTTCTTCTTCCCCCTGTCTCTCTCCCCTTCCCTCTTATATAACCTCCATCCCCTATCCTTCTCCTTCCCCCTGTCTCTCCCCCCTTCACTCTTATATAACCTCTATCCCCTATCCTTCTCCTTCCCCCTGTCTCTCTCCCCTTCCCTCTTATATAACCTCCATCCCCTATCCTTCTCCTTCCCCCTGTCTCTCCCCAATCCCTCTTATATAACCTCCATCCCCTATCCTTCTCCTTCCCCCTGTCTCTCTCCCCTTCACTCTTATATAACCTCCATCCCCTATCCTTCTCCTTCCCCCTGTCTCTCTCCCCTTCCCTCTTATATAACCTCTATCCCCTGTCCTTCTCCTTCCCCCTGTCTCTCCTCCCTTCCCTCTTATATAACCTCTATCCCCTATCCTTCTCCTTCCCCCTGTCTCTCTCCCCTTCACTCTTATATAACCTCTCCCCTATCCTTCTCCTTCCCCCTGTCTCTCTCCCCTTCCCTCTTATATAACCTCCATCCCCTATCCTTCTCCTTCCCCCTGTCTCTCCCCCTTCCCTCTTATATAACCTCTATCTCCTATCATTCTCCTTCCCCCCTGTCTCTCTCCCCTTCCCTCTTATATAACCTCTATCCCCTATCTTTCTCCTTCCCCCCTGTCTCTCCCCCCTTCCCTCTTATATAACCTCCATCCCCTATCCTTCTCCTTCCCCCTGTCTCTCTCCCCTTCCCTCTTATATAACCTCTATCCCCTATCCTTCTCCTTCCCCTGTCTCTCTCCCCTTCCCTCTTTATATAACCTCTATCCCCTATCCTTCTCCTTCCCCCTGTCTCTCTCCCCTTCCCTCTTATATAACCCTATCCCCTACCTGTCTCTCTCCCTTCCCTCTTATATAACCTCTATCCCCTATCCTTCTCCTTCCCCTGTCTCTCTCCCCTTCCCTCTTATATAACCTCTATCCCCTATCCTTCTTCTTCCCCCTGTCTCTCTCCCCTTCCCTCTTATATAACCTCTATCCCCTATCCTTCTCCTTCCCCCTGTCTCTCTCCCTTTCCCTCTTATATAACCTCTATCCCCTATCTTTCTCCTTCCCCCCTGTCTCCCTCATCCCACTTCGCCTCCCCGCCCTTATAAATCTAAGCAGCCTCTTCTTTTCTCTCCTCCCCACGCCCCATTTTCCACCCTTGTCCTAATGCCTCTAGTTCTCCCTCCTTCCCCCACTCTTACACAACTCTCACCCCTTCCCCTCTTTCCTTCTTCATTTTCCACCCCACTAACCCCTACATATACGTCATATCCCCCTCTCCCGGTATATCCCCACGTCCTGTCTACCCCACAACCATTACCCACCACCAACCCCTTCCTCCCAGTCCCTCCCCATTCCTCTTCCAATCCTCCCCCCCATCTTTAGCCACCTCCTAGCCCTTCCTCCACTCCTTCCCCATTCCCCAATCACTCCCCATCCTCCTCCCTCCCACTCCTCCCTATTTACATCCCCTACTCCCTTCCCCTATTCACCATCACCCCGTCCGAGGTCATTTATATCAAACCTGATAGAGAACCGGTATTCTGGTTCCCTCAATGAACTTGGTCGAGGTATTGAGGGTAATAAACAGTGCATTTTATTGGTTCATGAGGCTGAAGCTCAACTATGCTCGGTTGTGAGGCAGAGGGGGAGGTGGGTGCTCATCTACTCATGTATTTGTTATTGATATCATCATCAGTATTATTGTAAAGGGTGGTTGTTATTTGGTTGCTTGTATTATTGGTATCATTTTAGTGATTATTGCTATTATAGTGATTGTTATTATTATCGCCATCGTCACTATTATTGTTATTATTATTGGTATTATTAAATTGTGATCATCAGTATCATTATCTTTTTATTGTTATCTTCATTATTATGATTATTGTTATCATCATCATCATCATCATCATCATCATCATCATCATCATCATCATCATCATCATCATCATCATCATCATCATCATCATCATCATCATCATCATCATCATCGTCATCATCATCATCATAATAATTATTACTATTATTGTCCTTGTTGTTATCATGATAATAATGAAAGTAATAAGTAATATTAGTAATATTACCATTGACAGTAAATGTAAAGGAGGTTTATTAATTAAATTCTCTCTTTCTCTCTCCCACTCTCCCTTCCTCTCTCTCTCTCTCTCTCTTCTCTCTCCTTCTCTCTCTCTCTCTCTCTCTTTCTATTTCCCTCTCTTTCTCTCTCTCGCCTTTCCTCCCTCCTTCCTTTCTCCTTTCTCCTCTCTCTCTATCTCTCTCTCTCTCTCTCTCTCTCTCTTTCCCTCTCCTTCTCTCTCTCTCTCTTTCTATTTCCCTCTCCTTCTCTCTCTCTCTCGCCTTTCCTCCCTCCTTCCTTTCTCCTTTCTCCTCTCTCTCTCTCTCTCTCTCTCTCTCTCTCTCTCTCTCTCTCTCTCTCTCTCTCTCTCTCTCTCTCTCTCTCTCTCTCTCTCTCTCTCTCTCTCTCTCTCTCTCTCTCTCTCTCTCTCACTCTCTCTCCATATATGATTAAATACACACTCACAATCATATACAACTCAATCGACATATCCAGTGCGCATGTATACAGATAAGTATGAGAAGAAGTAAGTATGAGGAGGTAGGTGTAAGGAGGGCGTGTGAATGGGTATAAGGTGGTGGGAGTGAGGAACTAGGTGTGAGGATATAAGTGTAAGGAGGGCATGTTTGTGGGTGTGAGGTGGTGGAAACGAGGAGGTAGGGAGGAGTTGATGGGTGTTTGGATCAAACGAGGTGGGCGTTAAGGCTGGGAGGTTTGAAGAGATGTGAAGGCTGGGAGATTTGAAGGGATGGGCGTGAAGGCTGGGAGGTTTGAAGAGATGGGCGTGAAGGCTGGGAGATTTGAAGGGATGGGCGTGAAGGCTGGGAGGTTTGAAGAGATGGGCGTGAAGAGGTTTGAAGAGATGGCGTGAAGGTTGGGAGGTTGAAGAGATGGGCGTGAAGGCTGGGAGGTTTGAAGAGATGGGCGTGAAGGCTGGGAGGTTTGAAGAGATGGGCGTGAAGGCTGGGAGATTTGAAGAGATGGGCGTGAAGGTTGAAGGTTTGAAGAGATGGGCGTAAAGGGTGGGAGGTTTGAAGAGGTGGGCGTGAAGGTTGGGAGGTTTGAAGAGATGGGCGCGAAGGTTTGAAGAGGGGCGTGAAGGTTGGAGGTTTGAAGAGATGGGCGTGAAGGTTGGAGGGAGATGGGCGTGAAGGTTGGAGGTTTGAAGGGATGGGCGTGAAGGTTGGGAGGTTTGAAGAGATGGGCGTGAAGGTTGAAGGTTTGAAGAGATGGGCGTGAAGGCTGGGAGGTTTGAAGAGGTGGGCGTGAAGGTTGGGAGGTTTGAAGAGGTGGGCGTGAAGGTTGAAGGTTTGAAGAGATGGGCGTGAAGGTTTTGAAGAGATGGGCGTGAAGGTTGGAGGTTTGAAGGGATGGCGTGAAGGTTGAAGGTTTGAAGGATTGAAGGTTGAAGGTTTGAAGGATGGGCGTGAAGGTTGGAGGTTTGAAGGGATGGCGTGAAGGTTGGGAGGTTTGAAGAGAAGGCGTGAAGGTTGAAGGTTTGAAGAGATGGGCGTGAAGGCTGGGAGGTTGAAGAGGTGGGCGGGCTTTGAAAGAGGTGGGCGTGAAGGTTGAAGGTTTGAAGAGATGGGCGTGAAGGTTGGGAGGTTTGAAGAGGTGGGCGTGAAGGTTGAAGGTTTGAAGAGATGGGCAGGTTGAAGAAGGTTGAAGGTTTTGAAGAGATGGGCGTGAAGGTTGGGAGGTTTGAAGAGATGGGCGTGAAGGTTGGAGGTTTGAAGAGATGGGCGTGAAAGTTTGAAGAGATGGGCGTGAAGATTGAAGGTTTGAAGAGGTGGGCGTGAAGGTTGGAGGTTTGAAGAGATGGGCGTGAAGGTTGGGAGGTTTGAAGAGATGGGCGTGAAGGTTGGGAGGTTTGAAGAGATGGGCGTGAAGGTTGAAGGTTTGAAGAGGTGGGCGTGAGGTTGGAGTTTGAAGAGATGGGCGTGAAGGTTGGAGGTTTGAAGAGATGGGCGTGAAGGCTGGGAGGTTTGAAGAGGTGGGCGTGAAGGCTGGGAGGTTTGAAGAAATGGGCGTGAAGATTGGGAGGTTTGAAGAGGTGGGCGTGAAGGCTGGGAGGTTTGAAGAGATGGGCGTGAAGATTGGGAGGTTTGAAGAGGTGGGCGTGAAGGTTGAAGGTTTGAAGAGATGGGCGTGAAGGTTGAAGGTTTGAAGAGATGGGCGTGAAGAAATGAGAGCGAGGAAGTGGGCGTCGAGAGAAGAAAAACAGTTCAAGCCCCCATCACCGCCCACTTCAGACGGCAT